AGAGAATCCATCACCATTGGTGATAATACGAAGCACTTTGTTCTGCAGCACCTGCAGTCTCTTCATTTGGGTAGATGGGATGCTGCACAACACTGCATACGTCACAGGCCTAATTATCTGCTTGCACACCAAGACCTTGTTCTCCATTGTGACTGGAGAGGTCCTAAATAACAAGGGATACATTTTCTTGATCGCAGTTTTTTTAATCAGATAGTTGGTATTAGGCCTGAGACTCATACGGGTGTCCAATATAACCCCCAGGTATTTCGCGGTGATCGTGTCTGCCACCTCAACTCCTTTGACGGTCAAAGGTCTGTGAAGAGTTGAATTATCCATTTTTTTGGTGGAAATTGATGACCTTAGTCTTTGTGCTGTTTATACAGATCATTGACTTGTCAAAGTAGGGCACAATTTCCTTGTCCAGGTGTATCTGGATTTGCGTTCTGGCAATATCCGATTCGAACGAGTGGGTATATATCGCCGTATCATCGGCGTATAGTGCCGTACTCGTTCGCTCGAATAAAGGAAAATCGTGCGTATAGAGGGTATACGACAGAGGTGAGAGGGAATCCCTGCGGAACACCTGCCTTGAGTGGAAAATCTCCCGATATTCATTCGTTGACCTTAACCCGGATTTTTCGGATTGTGACATATGCATCAATAATTTTAATGGTGAAAATCGGCATTTTAGCCTAATACAACTCGAGCAAGAGACCCTCGTGCCAGACGCAGACGGACGCGTTGGTCTCTAAGCCAAACGCTCACTTGAAAATGCAACTATCAAGAGCGAACTGCATCTCGCCAACAGCGGCAGCGAAAACGCCAGCGCCAGCTAACGTGGCGGCGCTTTATCTCCTCTCCCGCACTATTTGATGCGTCCTGTCTCTAGACGCTGCTATACTTGAACATGATTGTCAAGTTGACAGGTTTAGTTCAGTCAGTTCAGGTTCAATTAATAAAGGAGAAAGTAGATCTTTTATTCCAGTTGCAATTAAATAATGTTGATTGCCGCTTATCAATGTTGAAACCACGTCTTGGTTAGGCACTGCTATACAGATAAAGCATATACAATATACCCTAATATAGGTAGATAAATGATTGATGTGATAATTGAATATTTTGTTATCAGATCAGAACAGTACACAAAACAGAACCTTAGTGTCTCACTTTCTGAAGATTTCATGTTTTTCATTCATTTTTCAACATCGAAATACGATGTTGTAATACTTACTAAGTTTGAATGCTTTGAAAATATAAAAGCAATCATAAACTGTTTCAAATGGACCTAACCTAACTTGAAACAAACAAAACAAACTTTTTCATCCTTGTTCGCCCTGTAATATCTTTGTCAAATCATTGGAGTCAAATCCACCACCACCTATTTTGTAGAGTTACAAGAGTTCACTCGACGTCAAAATCTCTAGTATTTACGAACGACAGTCACAAAGTAAAATATACAAAGTCTAAAAAATGTCGAACGCAAATGAGTGAACTCTACTCCACAGAGTACGTATTCGAATGCACCCCTGGGTTATGAGGGTTCTTCAAAATTACCTTATGCTAAAAAATCTGCCCCTTATCGACCTCCCAGAAACTTTCTGTGGTGGTCGGACAGAAAAGACTGTCAAATATTATGGAGCACATGAACGATAAACAGATCAGATGCGTTGATGTTTTTCGCACTACACATTGGTCTGTTATTACGGCAAATATCCTGTGGGGCAATCGAAAATACTTGTTGGTGATAAAAATGTGCTGTTTCCCTTCCCTCTATCTCTGGATACGTCAAATGCAAGAATAAAGTAATGTTTATTCTTTGCCGTACGGCAACACCTCGAAAGTAAGCCAACCATAAAAATATTGATTTACGTAATGAGTCCGGAAAATACTGGCCGAGCCGTAGGCGAGTCCTGGAAATCTGTGAATCCAAAAAAACTTTTTTTGGACGTGTTGCGTACACAAACCAATTAGACACATTTCCATAGTATATTTCTTTGTAGAATACAATTTTTTCTTTATTAATTTTCATTTGTATCAAATACTGAAATTTGAACAGAATACCTATACCTACTAACTGTTACATTGGAAATTTCGTACGGACATTTTCAAACTCACTATCGCAGCTGCTTTCGATAGTTTATTGCAATTTTTGCAACCAAACTTTCAAAAATCAAAATGTCAACTAATTTCATGTCAAATAGCTGTCAGCCGATATTTCGCTGCTATGGTAAGTATCATCTGCATTTATCAAAACCATATCTACCAAGATTTCATAGTTACAGTGACAACAACGAAGTGATACTTCCCGAACTAGGCCGGAAAAATGCTACTTCCTCAAAGAAAAATCGTCCGGGAACTGAGCACTTCCCGGACGGTTGCCGAAAAAATATATATAATACATGTTAAATAGGATGCACGCTCGTTAAAAGTGATTCACTTTATTAGTTTTTCAAATGTCAAAACAGATCTATAAAATTCTGCTATGAAGTACTGTGATTGGATTCTGATCAAGACACCAATTTGTCGATGGATAGTACCAAGTATGCACAGGTTATATATACAGTGTTTCAAAAGTAAGGACCCGATAAAGATTCTGCCAAAATAAAGATACTGTATTTCATTTATAAAAGATGGTGTACATTTCAATGGAGTTGATTTGGAGCCACCAAAGTGTCCTCTATCTACAGGTATCGTATGTACAGTGCATCCCATTTTGGTTGAGACTGCCAGGTTTCTCGGTTGTTCTTAGAGATAAAAGCCTTGCGGTTTTCACGTTCCTGTCCTACTTTTTAGTGAAACTCAAGAAAGCCTAATCAGATGTTGCATAACTGTTTCCGTTTATGATACAGGGTGATTTTAATTCTTTTTATCTTTGGACCCCTTCCATATCTACGATCTCGTTATTTTTTCCTCCAAAATGATGTATGATACTCCTCATATAGGGTAAAAAATGCTGAAAAACACTTTCACATTAAATTAATATGAATTTTTGCCAGTGGGCCATGGATTTTTCATATAAAAGAAGTATCTATTGAAGAATTCTCATTTGTGTTTTTTGAAGATCAGGAAAAAATAGAATTCTCACACTGATTCACATCATAACAGATAAATAAATTGTTTTGCGAAAGCTGAACACTAACGTTGTTGAATCGTATATTGTAGAAAGAATGTAAATGCGATCGAAGTGCTGTTAATATGAATGCCAACTGTATAACCGGATGAGTATTGAGATTGACCGTTCAATCTGAAGATTCGAGAATAATAAATTGTTTTATTGACCTAAAAAGTTAAGCTTCACCGTGAATATTAATTAGGGTATTACCATCCTATAGCCCGGTGGTCATTAAAGATCAATGGAAAATTACCCACAAGATAAACAATTTTGGTTCACACTGCATGAATGAATATTCGAATAATCATACTGTTGGATAAAAGTTAAGTAGAACTTATGAATAAGATGTCACATCGTCGATTTCGTCATCAAACCCTTGGTTTCCTATCACGTAATACAAAAAATTGTTCATGCATGATTTTGTCACCATACTGTGCGTATGATATCACACTAATCGAACAAGCCCAAGTTAGAATCGCCAAACACAATATCCTACAAAATGGGAACTTACTATCATTTCACCTATTCGGATACTCTCGATATCCTCAAAATAACTAATTTATCTGTTCGTCGCTTTAGGCTAGATAATTATACTATGTTTAAGATTATCTCAGGTGAAATTGATTGCTATGAATTTCTCGACAGGATTAACTTTATTACTCCCTCATATTTCACTAGAAACACATAATTATTTGCTATAAATACTCATAGAACCAACTATGGGTTCTTCAGATCTTTTTCGCGCATTTTGTGTACTTTCAATGCATTTAACATTGACCCGTTCGTTCAGTCTTTAACCATATTTGAAAATATAATTTGTAGAATTGATCCAAGGTTAGGTTAGTTGATACTTTTTTTCTCTTCTCTTTATTTTTTTTTTCTCCTCTGGGCATAATGTACCTGTTGTAGTGTTTACAAAAAGTTCAATTATTTTTTGACCACATGTATCTTTATTGTAAAGGTCAGTCCGTTTATTGAATAAATAAATAAATAAACACCGGTGACGTAACATCTCTTATATGAATATCAACGGATGGGGCTTCAAAATTGCAGACTTACATGTTTTAGTATTTTTTTAACAATCGGTTATTTTTGGAACTTGAATCACTCTGAGAAGTTTGTATTGTCTCAATGATGTAGGTAACATCTTTCTCTTTCATGCCTTTCAATATTTTATTTACGAATTAAATATTGTAAAGTTTCGGAGCATCGGCTGGGGATAGTCCTGCACGATTCGCTGTTGCGTTCCAATTAACAGTGCTGCTCCTAAAGTGGCGCATGGAGTTAGTAACAAAGCCTACACAGAACACGCAGAAAGATATGATGATGTGGTTGTGAGCATCAGAGAAGAAGTAGGACGGTGTATGTAGGTGGGTGTGGAAAACTACCAGCTGAGCGTGAGAGCGGGCCAGCTGCTTAAGTAGACCTCGGTCTCGGGGGTTAACGATGATAGTTAGCAGGCCTGCCACTGCGCATATGGTAGTGAGTACATTACTAGCCTACGTGTATGTAGGTGGGTGTGGAAAACTACCAGCTGAGCGTGAGAGCGGGCCAGCTGCTTAAGTAGACCTCGGTCTCGGGGGTTAACGATGATAGTTAGCAGGCCTGCCACTGCGCATATGGTAGTGAGTACATTACTAGCCTACAAAACACAGCTGAAAAACTCTGAGAAGAGAGCTGATGGGCGGTGCCTGAAAAGGATGTTAGCCAGCTCTCTTGAGCGAACCACATCAGTCATTGAAAACACTTGGGGTTGGCAAAAAGGTCCCATTGGGGACTAGTTGCTGACGTGGAAACGTCCCCCACCAGTACCAGTACCAGTTTTCATGCCTTCACCATCTTTTATTCTAGGTATGGATATTAATATAAAAATAAAAACAGTACTCACCCAACGGGACATCTGCATGTATTTCGTAAGTCCCATAAAGGAAGCCAATTCGCTGGTGACCAGTGACACGCCAGTAGTCCAAAAATTTTTCCACCAAATTTGTATTTTCAAAGGCAACATTGTCAACATGCCGATAAGCCTGAAATCGATAAATAAACGTTTTAATTACGTTAATTGTGACATAAAGTCGAAAATGACGTATCCAAAACTCATAGAACTATTTTTAAATCAAAATAATCATGTCATGAATAGGTCAATAGCGAAAAATGAGGTTTCGAATAAATTATCATCATGTGAAATTTATATGAACATACCTGATGATATCCCATTAAAAAAAAACAGACGAATTGATTCATTGTTTGAAAATTACAATAATTATTACTGAGGTTGGGTAATGCATAATGAGTGGATGAATGAGAACTAGTTGCTTGAAAGACCCATTGATGAAAAAACATCTAAGCTCAAACAATTTGATCAGAAACTGTATTAGACATTTTGAGTCAGTTTGATATCAAAGAAGAATAAGATATATCAAATCATCTAGATATTTATGAATGAATATAGGTACCTACAAAAATGCATCATGACCTACTTACATCGCGTTGAAGTTCGATTGAAAGTCTATCATATCTAAGGAAATACAGAGATGATACTTTTACAAATAATTTTGATTTTGAGAAACAAATTACGATGCTCGGTTTGATTGATTGATTCATATCAGAATGACCAGTCAGGGTTCGAAGCCCAAAACACTGCAGCCTTTGAGCCTATTGTATTCCTGACCACGCTATTGACTCAGGTGAACAGGTTCGCTACCTTGATGAGGTTCAGCAGCCTCTTCACCAAATCTCCCCCTGGAAAAACCTCATGTGAGCTTATGCTCCCAGAAAGTTGTATCTCCAACGAGCTAGTGCCTTGCACTCCAATATAACATAGGTGGCCGTTTCCTCCTCATTGCATAGTCTGCGTATGGGTTCGTCTGAATAGATGCCCATTCGATGCATATGATTCCTCAAGGGGCAGTGACCGGTTATAAGTCCCGTCACTTGTCTGATCTGACTTCTGTTTAGGCTCAGAATGTCGTTAGTGACTGTTCTGGACAGTGTTCCAACCATCAGTTTGCTGTGTCTTTCTCCTGGAACGTTGTCTCAGTATGCCTGATGGCTTTCTTGCGTCCACCTTGCCAGCCAGCCACGTATTGAGGTTTTGGAGATTCCGAACACAGGTTCCGCTACAATAAACAACGCCGCAGACCCTTGCCTAGCAAGAGAGTCAGCTGCTTCATTGCCTACAATTCCCTCATGCCCTAGCACCCATTGCGTTACCCTGTTGTGGTTAGCCAGGGTTAGCAGGATTTGAAGGCAATCCCAGAACAGTCTTGATCTGATTTCATTGCATGCTAAAGATTGGATGGCCGCCTGATTATCTGAGCATATAAAGATTTGTTTACCTCTGTATCCTCTCACGATATTCTCTCTCAGACATGCCTCAATAGCATGCACCTTTGCCTGGAATACTGAAGCATACCTCTCCAAGGAAGCACAACCCCTAGTTCTGGGTCTGTCTCCATATATTCCGGCTCCCGTACCCTCATCAGTCTTAGAACTGTCAATGAACCACACTAACGTGCCTTGCTTGAAACTAGGCTGATTATTTTGGTATGTCCCAGGGAGCCCCCCATAGTATGCCAGTTGCCACTACACTCCAGTCTGTGTGCCCCCATCCTCGCTTACGCCTTGATGAAGATATCAAGATGTGGAATGTTGAGTAAGGTTTCCAAAGCAGCGGTAAGAGTGTTACGCATTGCACCTGTCATGCAGAGACAAGCTAATTTCTGCAGTTTTGAGAGCTCCATTATAGCAAATCTCTGATCAGTCTTAGGCCACCAGACAAGCAATCCGTATACAATCATTGGTCTCACCAAAGCAGTATACAGCCAATGTACCATGCGTGGTTTCAGTCCCCATGTGTTACCAAACGCTCTCCGAGCATCCATTAGTGCCATTTTGACTTTGCTGACAGTCTTCCGCAGTTGAACATTTCAGGTAAGCTTAGCATAAGGGGTTACTCCTAAATATTTAACCTCATGTGTCATACTTAGCTGTGTTTCAAAAAGTCTGGCAAATGTAAGTTTGTCCAGTTTCTTCTTCGTGAAGGCCACACGTGCAGTTTTACCAGGGTTGACCCTGAGGTCTGCCTTTCATGGCACGCTGCATCAAGTCTGAAATAATTTCAGGATGCTGCTCCTCTACAAGAATGACGACATCATCTGCATACCACTGTGAGTAGATTCCTACAATGAGTAGTTCATCCAGGAGTACGTCAATAACCAGATCCCACAGTAGGGAAGAAAGGAATGCTCCCTGTGGGCAACCCCTAGAAATTGTCACCTCCATGGTTTCGCCAAGCAATGAAGATTCCACTGTTCTGTTGTATAGCATGTTTTTTATCCACCGACATGTAGTGTCTTCCACTCCATGCCCAACAACCGCTGCAACCATCGATTTGAAGCGTGTATGACCAAATGCCCCTTCAATATCCAGGAAGGCCGCAAGAGCTATGTTCTTGTTGCTTATTGCGGCTTCAATTTCCACCACCTGTTGATGAAGAGCAGTTTCACAGGATTTGCCCGATGGATATGCATGCTGGTGTTTATGTAGTGGCCTTTCACTGCGATAGTTTTTCCTGATATGCATTTCAATTAGCTTCTCCATCACCTTCAACATGATCTTTTTTTACCATTTAGCTGCCCTAACTCTCCGATAGCATTTGCATTTGTCACTCCATATATCAACAAAGTGCATTAATCATTCAAGGATATATTATTATCGACTACATCAGTCTTTTTATAGGTAGAGTTATCTTCTACTAGCAGATTTCTCCAAACATTGACGCAGTCACTCGTTTTTTACTCTCTTCCTTCAAAAGATCTGATTCAGCTTGTTCTCTTGTGATAAATTCAATTGCCTTCAATTCATCTGCATTGTTCTGAAAATTCTCCAAGTTTCCATCTTTGAACTAAATGGAAATGTTTTTGGTCACGTCGGGTTTCTGACAGGTTGTTCCATAATCGATCGAATTATTATGAATACCTACCTATTCAATTCATATACATTTATTTCTTGGTCTCTTTTTCACAATTGTCCTCATTTCAACCTCTCCTATGTAATATCCTTTTTCAGAATGATTATTTTTTTTATAATTGGCAATAAATCCTGCAAAACAGCGAGTTTGATAAATACGTTTCAGGCAGAAATTCGCCGTTTTTCAACCAATGTGTTTGGCAATCACACTATTAAATTCCTATATTATTGTCGACATCATGAATCAGACTATCTGAGTGGTCTGCTAAATATCTCACAGCATTTATGAGCAGTTTCAGTCCTTGCATTACATCATATCCTGAGGTATCTTCTGCGGCAATTTGTTGTCCTTATCATCAACCATTTTTGCGACTTATATCAAGACTTGTGATTGATTCCTTTCCAGACCATTTGATCACTCTGGCTGGTTTTGTTACTGATTCATCAGCGCATTCGATTTGGAATTTCCATTTCAGGTAATATTAACCGTCAAACAAGATAATACTAGGCGAGTTCGGCTTGCACATCGGAGTTGGGAGTGGGGCGAGTTTGGAACGAGAGTGAATCTTCGTCACGTGATATATGGAGTGAATCCCAGAGCGCAGGGTTGTTCTGTACCCCGAGTTCCTGAATTACCGCACTCTGACATGACTCTGACATATGTCTGCCTCAACTCAACCTGCTGAAGTGCTGAAATCTTAAATACTAAAATGAATATTAATAATATTGTTATTCCTGTCGTTTTTAATAGTATCATGCGTTCTTCTTGAAATAATGTTGTTGGACGCCATTTCAAACGTCAGCGCGAAAAGATCGCATAAATGTCACAACCTATCAATTTTTGGCATAACTCCGAATGCGCACGAACCGTTCGAGGTGGGGCTTTGGAGTCGAATCTATTGACTCTGATTCACGGAACCCGAACGCTAAAATTCGCACTCCTAGGAGTTCCTAAACAATACCCGAACGCAAAAGGAGCGAATATAGTGAATAGAGTCAATAGAGTGAGCAAGCCGAACTCGCCTACTAGCGACGTTGATATTGTCTGCTGTGATATTGTCACGAGTAGAACATACAGTATATTAGTAATTTGTAACCATGAGGGTTTTATAAACATAAAATTATTCAAATCATCAATTGACATTGAACTATGAAAACTGACCAAGGAACTCTCATAAGAAACGTGCAAATCTAATAAAATGATGTATATAAATATTGGATATGAGGGTTCCAAAGTTAGTCTGGTCTGGGGTACTCTTGACTTGACAAGAGCTCGTCGTGATGGTCGTTATAATGTAAGTTTATATTCATTGTTGTTTATTCATAATTGTCATCACTACCCATAATGTTTCGTACTTTCAGTTACCCCTAAACTATTAGTGCCTATTTGAATATTACCTCTCGCAAAATATTAAGCCAAGCTAACCCCTTTCAAATCGATATGATGGACAAACAATCTCTATTATGTTGTGACATGGTGGAAACACAGCTCTTTGATCGTGACATTACCTCTCGCCTCCACCCGTTTATTGTGACATGGTGGAGGCGCCTAAGCTTCTTTCCTCGAGTCTCATTCCTCATAATGGACTCATCAATATTTTTTTTTGCATTCATCGATTTATGTCAATTTCATATTTCATACGAAGGCACTAGTAGAAAGGGTTATTTGAAAGTAATTAAGTATAGCAGCATGAATTATGGGTGATAACAAAGTAAGAAAGTCATTTAAATTATAAATCCTAATTTTTCACAATATTTTAAATACCATTAAGTTTGAAAAGTTGAATAACAATCATTCCATTTCTATTCAAAGACATGATATAAAGCACCGGACCAGACTCACAAAGTTTGGAGCTTATCTCTGAACTTTGTTATTTTTTTGTTCTCTACTCGTAATTTTCTATTTGAATTTGGGAACAAGTTTTTCCTATATCTCATTCTTGCCAGTTTTTTATTTCTCATATCAAGATAATTTCAAATACTTTTATTTTTAGTTGATCAAATCACTCGAGAAATGCAATGCCAATGCCATGAACACTCAATTGAGAATATAATA